AGTTGTTGTCCGAGTTGCCAGGCCTTTTGTACGGGAGTCTTGCAATGTTCAGGGCCTGTTTTGCATCGCTACTACTGGTATTGCCAGTGCTGCCGCACTGTCTAGGTCTAGGGATACCGGCCGCGGCGAGCAACGCAGGGCCCACGACTCACTGACTCAATGACAAACCCTGAAGCCTTCACTGCAAGATATGTCTCAACAACATTGTGATGTCGTCAACGTCTAGGCTGCTTTGGCATCACAATGATCATCATCATCATCATCATGACCCTGGGCTTGGTCATGGTCATCGTAACAACGGTCATCGTTGCCATCATCACTGCCATGCTGTCTGCGATGGTCCTAAAAAGAAGCAAGGCAAGCCTTTTTGTGATTATTACGGCTAGCAGTCTGGTTCTCATCAACTGAAGAAGCAAGCTCTGCCATCTTTCTGTGGGAGCGAGGCCCTTGCGTGCCGTGGACCCACTCGACCCTAAAGTAGTCGCGGTTCTGGTAGTCGTCATTCCTCCCATCCCTCGCCTTTCCTTGGCAACACAGTTTGTGCTTAAAACTGTTCGGTTACCAGCTGCCGGGCGTGAAGAAGGTCTTCGTTAATTAGCTGAGCCAAACTTAACTCGGCTTGATACATGGTTTGTCAGGAATGCTTGAAGCGAAATCTGCCAATCGTGCCGCAACATGGCAGTGGGGATGAGCGCAGTAATTGACCGCAACCGGCAATATAGCGACCATGGTAACACGAGTAACGACAGTGACAAACATAGGTAAAACAAATTAAGGATCAACTGGCCGAGAGGCGGATGATGGCTGGACGCCACTCGACAGACTCGCCAGGCTCGGGCCTGTGCACCTTCTCCTTAGTTTGCTGAAACACAACAGGTTTGTATGAGCCGATATGTATGAGCCAAAAATATGCCCACATCCAGGTGCATGTCCATGTCTATGCCCATGTCTATGTCCGTATCTGAGCATGTTCATATGCATGTGTGTACTGCAGGTACATAGTGAACACACACACACACACACATAGCTGTATATACGTACATGCTGCATGGCAAAGCATGCATGCGGTGTACATGCGCACATGTGTGCATGTACGAAGACGCGCGTGCAGGGGAGGGGGAGCGGGGGAGGGGGCATTTCAAGGGCGACTGCCTGTCCTAGTTAGTGCTCATTCGGTGCATTGCTGTTTATTTGCATTTCGCTCCGACGAGCGTTGCGGATGGCGCCTCTCGGACTAGACCGGCCCCAAAGACAAGCTTCCATCCTGGACTCGGCAGAGGATGACGATGCCGCCGTCTGCTTGCCATCCACCTGACACTGGCGTGGTGTTCCACGCTTCCGAACGTGTGAAGGTTTTGAGCTTTGGCATCAACCCTCGCATCCACTAACCTGGAATTGAAGTCTCCAAGTCACAAAACTGCAGCTCGGTTTCACTTCTCAAGATTGTTTACACAATGATGTCCTCTCTGTGGGGCAACATCCGGAGTTTTGGAAGTCTCTGCTGATCCTCGAACCCCATCCACAATGCCAAAGCAATGGTGCAAGAGCATCTGTGCCTTGTGGACAAATTTCGCCCAGCCGAAACAACGATCAACCTCGTTCAAGTCCTGCACGTGCCCGGCACCGAAGTTGGGCAGGGGAAAGCTCTATACTTGCAAGATACGAAGGGGTGCGGGAGCCGAGGGACTTGGAGTCCGAGTTGGGGCTTTCGGGTATTCAGGCTTTTGGCATCGTTGCACAACAGCATTGTGGTGGCAAGCTCTGAAATAACATCAAGCACCATTCTGCGACACTTGTAGCACGATCTCACTCAGGCACAGCTTGGAAGATGTTCGTCTTGCTTTGCATCTCTCTCCGCCCCTTTTCTTCCTCTCACATTGCCTGCCTCGCTCTACCGTCTCAATATGCCGATTCCGCCCATATCCGCATGCACATCCAACCTATACTGCCAGCATGAGCTCTTGGGACCGTCTGAATCTAAGTAGTCATTCCGGTAAAGTTTACCCGAAGCCCAAGTATACCCGAAGCCCCCGACAACGCTTTGGCCAATGGCGCCTTCAGGGTAGTTGTACGCTTGTCTTCCAGCCAAGCTTGGTAATGAGGGTTCACTGCCTCGCAGGTGCGAACAAAGATCGGTCCAAGCTGGTGCTTTAGGATTAGAAGGGTTGCAGGTCTCTTGATTAATGAGACTGAAGTTTCGGAGGAATGTCCTAAACCAATTGAGACTGACCAGCCATCTTTGAGACGCTTCCAATCTTCGCTTGAGAATCACTCCTCGAGCCTTTGATTTTGACAGGGCAATGCGCGCAGTCTCTGAAGTTCGCAGCGCAGGCTTGAGCGGCGAGGGTTCGGGACTGCAGCCTTGGGCCGCAGAGTTCACGGGGTACTTCGATATCTTCTGCCCGCAGCGCATCCGACATCTAACCCCCCAAGCTGCGAGCTTTTGACCAAAAGCTCATGTTCAGCCATCTAAGCACTCGGTTCGCAGACTATGGGTGGCAAACCGCTGCCCTATCCTGGCATCGATGACATAGCATGGCAGTGTTTTGGTGCTGGGCAATGAACAAAAGATTTCATCGGGTTCTATCCTACATCGATATCTGACTCTTAGAAGACGACACTGCGGGCTCACAGCACACAAGCGCACACGCACACATACAAGACACGCACAGACAACATACACACACTGCATATATACATATTATATATATATATATATAGATAGATATAGAAATGTAGTATAATATAGAAGAAAGTCCTACGTAAGCCCACATGCATGGACACACGCATGCACGGTTGCACACACGCGTGCTCACGCATGCACACGCACGCACGCATGCACGAGATCTCTCGTCGGCTCTAAAGCGGTATCTCTTCTGGGGTAACTGCGAAAGTGCAAGTGTGCTTTGGCTCCAGAACCAGCACGGAAAAACAATAACAAACAGCATCCCGGTGCTTGGGGTAAGAGCCCTAGGACTGCACCTTACCTTACAAACAAAGCCTCTGAGAAGCTCTGGTAGTAAGATCTGAATGTTTCGAAACCATCTGCATACGCCTAAAGGGCTTTCAGGATTGCTCAAGTGTCCCGCCTTGTAGCCTTCGGTGCCTTCGACCACTCGCAGCGACACTTTGCCGTGGCCAAAGCCGAACTGCGCCAGCGTGACAGATTGATTCAGAAACAGACTGGTAGACCGCATGCGTACAGGTGCACATACATATATCCATAATGAGAGCGCGAGAGAGGGAGAGAGGGAGAGAGAGAGAGAGAGAGACAGAGAGAGAGAGAGAGAGCCAGCGAGAGAGAGCGCGAGAGAGAGCGAGAGAGAGCGAGAGAGAGCGAGAGAGAGCGAGAGAGACTCATACGGTTCATGCATAGTAACTGCTGTTAGCATCAGTCGATGTTGACGCATCTACGTTTCACACTATAAGCGTTACTGCTATTTCTCGTGCGATTCGTGCGTTCTCCCAGGTTGGAGTTTTGGAGTATTTGAGTCTATTACTCCTCGGAAGCTCTCCATCTGCACCAAGAGGATGCAAGGTTGGGCCCCCGAAGTAATTGGAAGAGGGTTTCGTAATGAGACATGTTTTCAGTCGCTGAGGCTTCTAAACTAGATACGATGAACCACCAAATCCCAAACCGCCTGGACCGACGTAAATCCAAACCCTCAAGACCTTTAAACCGAGATTACTGAACGAAACAGGCATGAGCCTTGCTTACAAGAGTGACATACCGCAATGGTCGCGCAGATGGAACGCTGATTTGGAGAACCCCCTGCATCGAGTTGCTAGGGTAGTAGTATTAGTAATAGTGATACTAGTACTGGTAGTCCTAAATAGTAATAATATTAGTACTCGTATAATAGTATATAGTAATTAATAAGTTGCATTACACCGACTTTCCACTCCCCGTGGACCTTGCTGACATACTGCGAGAAGGCATTCCTTGGAGTTAATCTGCATCATTAGGAGTAAAATAACGCAACAGCAGCACTGGCCACCGCGAACATTTTCAGCCTCTGGACCTGTTCCAGTGCGATCGAAAACTGCTTGTCGAAGCAGCGCACCAAACATTTAGACCGGATCTCTCGGAACTTGAACCTTTCATTACGAGGTGAAGGGCTACTGCGGCTACAGGCCTTCGGGGCTTGGGTCCTCAGAGTGCTTCGCCCACGCCCTTGGGATTGTTCCCTTTGGCGTGAAATGCCACATTGCTGCTGCCAGAGTGGAGGGAGAGGGTTCAGGCTGAGAGCTTTGAGGACAGCGAATGGACTTGGGCTTGGCTTCAGCGCCTAGCGGTTTGTCTCAAGGTCTGCGCAGAGCTGTAAACGCACACAAGCGCAGCGTGCTGACAAACGCACCCAGAAACATCAAACAACTCGTCTTTTGCTTTCGTCTGGCATCAGGCATAATTTGAGACGGTTGCTGCGCAACTGCAGTCGCAAAACTTCGGCAAAGGAATGACCTAAATGAAGCTAGCCGACCTAGCCTCTACAAGCGCTCCTGCAACCACCATTTGGGGCAAGCAGGCTCCGAACCTCATTTATGAGGCCTTCCAGCGCTGTTGGCAATTTCCCGAGGGACGCCCTGCGCTAATACGCTGGTAGTGGGGACAGCTAGCAAGCATTTGCTTGGGTGAAAGGAGAAAGATTGCAGCACTCCTCACCGATCCCTTGGATCGGGGATGGCATAGGAGGAAGGGACTGCACACAGCTTTGAACTAGTTTCCCATGTGTGAATGCACAGGCCCCAGTATCGAGTGAGGCCTGCTGAAAAACACTGGGACTCAGCTTGTAGCCAATATGCCAAGAGATGTTCATGAATGTCGAACTGGGCTTGGCAGGCCCGACTCCAACTTGCTAATGTAAAGTGTTATTGTAACTCACATCCCGGCTTTGCATCTCCATTCATCAGCCAAGATGCTGGCTCAACGGAACAGGGACTCCATTCCGGGATTGGCCCGGCAACCCTGAAAAGTGGAATTCTCGCAAAGCAGGAAAAGATCAAGTGTCCATCATGCATCTGGCTTGCCGAGCACTGAGGACTTGAGTCTTCAGCCGATGAACCACCAGCTGATGTGAGCCGTGCCTGTCTGCACGAAGCGCAACATCCAATGCCGTCTGTTTTGATGAGTTCTTCTTTTTCAGCTTAGCACCAGCTTTGATAAGAAGGTCGACAATCTCATGATGACCTAGCTCTGCAGCGACATGAAGAGGGAAGATCTGTTGGGCTCCGCAGGGCGTCCAGAAGACTCGTGGGACGTTGACATCCTCCGAGAAGCCCTGGGATGCAAGAAAGTCTCGCAATCTGCTGTTGCTTCGACCTTCGATCTCACTGCGCTTCGACCTTGCCCGCTCCGTACCAAGCGCAGCATCGGTGCACTCTGAGGACTTCAGGGCTTCAAGTTTTGGAGCCTCCTCGAATTGGTCCGCTGCCGCGACTGGTATCTGGGTTGGGGCAATCTGACCCAGCTTGTACATCTGGGCAACCGACTTGGGATGCCCGAGCCTAGACGAGACTCACGCTGGGAAAATGGAAAATGGCTGCAGGCACGAGGAATGTGGAAATTGGTTGGCAGAAGCGCTGACAGGTTCAGCCCTCAGCAATGAGCCCAGCTCGGAGTTCACAATGCCCAGCCTCCTACGTATATACTTTAATGGCTGCGTGCCAACGGGCGGCTCGAAGTCCAGGGGCACCCAACTCATGGGATCATTGAGAGACAGCTGCTGCCTCGGCAAGCGGATAGGAAGCCGAGCTTTGCATAGGCTTCAGATCAGGGAATCTGAAGACAGTTGACATCATCGGGCCTTCAGGGCCTGGAAGTGTGGAGCCCAGGGTGGGGCTTTTGGAGTTGGGGTCTCCCTTTGAGCTCTCTCAAGTTGTGGGTTGTGGGCCAGTGTTGAGGAATTCCGAAGACTCTCGGATTCAGGAATTCCTGAACTTCCAGAACACAGCTTGAGAACGGACCGTCGAGGCCATGACGACTGTGCTTAAATTTTAGGGCAGGCAGGTTGCATTGCCTTAGCAGCTTAGCACAACAGTGGCACAACAAAGCCGTGCAAGCAGAACAAGAAAACCAACCGTACACCCCTTGCGTGTGTGTGCATGCGTGCGTGCACTTGTTTTCAATCGTGTAGCTCGTGGGATGTGTGTATCGTGACCGGCGGTCGACCGATCTGCACCACTTGCTGCAACTAATCGGCTATTTCCTATACGTTCAAGCATGGGGCATGCAGGAAGCAGAGCTCCCTGCGCATGGGCATATTCCGAAGTCGACTGAAGGTTCTTCTTCTGCATCTGGACCACCTGCATTCATCTGCATCTGGGGTTCGGCTGGGGTTTCGGGGTCTGCCTATAAGTTTTGCGGATAGGGTTGGTTGTATCCCTCCGTGACCTAAGATGCTGAGGATGGACCTGTGCGCCAGGAGATTTCATGTTGGAAGCGCATCGTACTACTAGCAGAGCAACATCCGGGCTTTCGAAAAGTAGCCATTCCACTTGCTGGGTGGAGTACCTAGTGGCTAAATCACCAAGGCGGCGACCTATACCAACAGAGCATTTTAGGCGAAGATCACCATCCCGCATCAAATGTTATGTTTCAGTCGGTTGTGGAATCTTCGAACCTATCGAAACTCGCCAGACTCGGACGTGGAGCCGGCACGAAGAATCGCTGCTCTCGCTGTGGCGTGCAGCAGCTTTCTAAAACGGTTTCCCTCCCCAGTCCCTTTGCGTGCGAAGTGGGTTCCACGGCCATCGTGGTGCTGCGCACCTTGTAAACCCAAATCGTGCTCCCATCATGACCCGTCGCAGTTCACATCATGCTCGCTCCGGAGTTTGTTCCTTTCGAATTGTCCACGCACAGCATGCTAAGCCTTTAAAGCTGAGGCGCCACTGCATCCGCGGCAATGCTTCAGCTGCTCTCGAAGGCATTCACACACACACACACACACACACACAAGGAGGGTCTTCCAGTCTTCCAGTGATGCAAGCTAGGCTGATTTCATCGGTGCATCTTCGAATGCGTTATTTCGCCCAAGTCCCATCCGCATGTCTGGCAGTTCCGACGAAACGGCTCATGGCTGATGCTCGCGACGTGCAGAGCTAGCGTCGCCCCTGCGTCTTGCAGTACCCTTACTGGGGGTTCTGTTGTGCCTGCTGTCGGATGCCCTTCCATTGCTTGGCATCTACGCTCGCAAAAAGAATCCGTTACTGATATCACCTTCCTCTCACTACGCAAAGATAGAGCTGCATCTCCAAGTATTGACGGTTTAGACCCACCCGAAAGGCGGCGGCCTTGCTCGACGGAACATGAGCCATGACCAAGTAGCGATGGTTCATCTCAATGTCTGAAAACCTGCGTCACGAGGTCTGCTTTCCAAGGCTTCGTCCAACAATCTGAGCAATCCCAAATGAGGTACAGTAAGAGGACAGTGTTTCAGAACGTGATGAGGTCATGTAACATGTCTAGCCATATAGCTTGTGGAACGTATTGCATGGCTTGTTACAGTCTTCTTGGAAGAACATTCGGAAGGCATTCGGGGCGGTGGTTGTAGTCACAATACAAGTAGTACTGGTGCTGCCCATCATCTTATTACTATTGCTGTTACTAGTATCTTCCTTGTAGTCTTCGTATTCTTATTCTTGGTAGTAGTAGCAGTAGCAGTAGCAGTAGCAGTAGCAGTAGCAGTAGCAGTAGCAGTAGCAGTAGCAGTAGCAGTAGCAGTAGCAGTAGCAGTAGGAGTAGGAGTAGGAGTAGGAGTAGGAGTAGGAGTAGTAGTAGTAGTAGTAGCAGCAGCAGAGGCAGCAGAAGTAGCAGTAGCAGTCCAGTAGCAGCAGCAGCAGCAGCAGTGGCAGTGGCAGCGGCAGCGGCAGCGGCAGCGGCAGCGGCGCTGGCAGTGGCAGTGGCAGTGGCAGTGGCAGTGGCAGTGGCAGTGGCAGTGGCAGTGGCAGTGGCAGTGGCAGTGGCAGTGGCAGTGGCAGTAGCAGCAGCAGTAGGAGGAGGAGGAGAATGAGCAGTAGCAGAAGTCGGAGTAGAAGCAGGAGTAGGAGCAGGAGGCGCAGGAGCAGAAGCAGTGGCAGTAGCAGGAGGAGTGGCAGCAACTGTAAAAGTTCACTACATCGAAGGAGAGCTTCTCTTCTCTTCATGACACACATGATGACCGCAGTATTACTCATGACGTCTGAAAACATAAACAGTATTAGCGGCAATTTCAGTTGCAGTCGCCCCGCCCGCATGACCATCGTCATCACTAGTTAGTATCATTCTGACCATGACCGACACTGCTCATGTCGATCACACATTCGAATCGCCATACATAACTATATCTACTATAGTACTACTGCATAATGACTGCATATCTATCAATCAGGAACGCAGTAACAGCAACCATGGCAACGAGGACCACGAATGCTACTGCAAAATCGTCAACCGGTAAACTCTCCAGAGCCCTGAGCCCCGCTCAAGCCTCAGACCTAGAAATGTCAAATGATTGAACCGGACAAGGGCAAGGGCAAGCTAGCGCACTTCGTCGCGACATCCGCATCGCCGCGGTTTCGCCAGAACCTGGTGAAGAGAGCGGTATAAAGACGGACGGTTCTGTCAGTTTCGGCCCGGACTTGTTTATTTCGGAATCGAAATTCGGGACCGAATTTCAGGCTCGAGCCTGCGCAGCTTGACGCAGGCCAGGCGGTAATTTGGGGTCTCAGAATTCTCGTCTGAGTAGGATCTAGGCCTTCACGGCTTCTTACCCAAGATCTCCTTCTGGGGTTTGGCGCTTGGCAGCCAACATCTAACATGCACGCAGTACACCCTAACCCGTAAACTGACAGGGGATCAAAGCTGGCAAGCCCTGAACCCTAAAAGAAGATAATGGTTGAAAACAGCCCAAGCTCTGAAACAAGATGGTGGTTGCGAAAACCAACTACCTACTGAGACCTACTGGGGCAGTAGTAGTAGCAGTAGTACCAGTAGTACCAGTAGTACCAGTAGTACCAGTAGTACCAGTAGTAGTAGTAGTAGTAGTAGTAGTAGTAGTAGTAGTAGCAGCAGCAGCAGCAGCAGCAACAGAGGACGAAGTAGGTAGGGTAGTAGGGCTAGCAGGGCTAGTAGGGGTAGTTGGGGTAGGAGGGGTAGTAAGAGAAGTAGGCGTAGTAGTGGTAGTGGGGGTAGGGGGGAGGGGTAGGGGATGCTAATACTCAGACTAGTACAAATACCGATACCAATACTCATACTAATAGTAATACCAATACTAATACCAATACTAATATACATACTAATATTAATACTCATACTCACACTAATACTACTAACTAGCACGAATACTCAAAAAACCCGGCGTTATAGAATGGAAAGCCAAGGGATTGCCGAGGCGAAGGCTCAGACTCCCTGCGGCACGCATCGCTGAGCTTCTCCTGCACACAGAAGATGTGCTACTGTAGTAGTCTTAGCATTAGAAGTAGAAGTAGTATTAGTATGAGGTAGTATGAGTATGAAAAATAGTAACTGGTATAGGATTGGTATTAGTAGTAGTATGACTATCAGAATGAGCATTGGAATTAGAATTAGCGTGTGCATGATGTGTACCGTAAACTCGAAGCTCCAGACCCGAGGACACAAGAAAGAGTGAACAGCAATTGTTGGCTGGCACCTGGCTGCCCTCATGTCCCCTCGCTTTTGGTGGATACATCCCTAAGCCAATAAACATCATGACAGGCTATGGCTATGACGGCTAAGACATGTTCTGCAGGGAAGGCAGCGTTGCCCTGCTGGTTGACCTGTGAACAGAGGCCCGCAGCAGAGACTGCGTGTATTTTGAACCCTGCAGAACCGCAAACCCTTGATAGCCTGGGGACTCGGATGTCATGTCCTGCAAACTCATCATCACTAAGGAAAGTACTAACGATGCTTAGGATCTCAGCGGGATGCGGGCCTTGAAGTCTCGGATGGTGTCGGTCAAGAACACTGGCACTGAATGGTTGCTGCCTGCTCGGCGTGCTTCGGGCTCGGAGCTCACAGCTTCGTAGCTTTCCCGAGATCTACACTCTGACCCAATATGGATGTAAAGAAGAGCCTGGGACTTTGCGAACGGGAAGCTCCCCACTGCCACTTTGGTGCAGGCTGCAGAGTCCGTTTCATGACAGCCACGGTGAAATTTGCGGAGACTTCAAAGTCTCGGCTCTCGAGATTCCGAATCTGCGAAGCCGCAACAGCTAAAGACCCCTTCGAAGTTGGCCTTCCGTTGCCTCAGCCGCTGCTGACCTAGCGGGCGCAACAAGGCTGATGTGCATCATCGTCGGAAACAGGATTAATTTCTGGGTTTGGTTCCGGAGACTGGAGCATGAATTTTTCAGTGAACGTTGCAAGGTGCAGTAGATGCCACGACGTTTGGATTGGCCCACTGCATTTTCGGCATCCGGCTTTGCAACTTAAAGCGAAGGTTTGGGCCTCGGAAGTCGGTGACTCGAGAGGTCCCCATCTGCAGGGCCTCTTCTCAGAAACAAACATTGCCTTGACCCTTAAGATCCTTTTCATCCTGCCAAGGCACTGAGCCGCAGTCGCGCTGACTCCGAACTCAATCTTGAGGCCCTTTGCCTGAATTCTGCTTGCGTACATATTATGCAGGTTTATTTGTCCAACCTTGTTCATTGGCCTGCATCAAATGTTGTAGCTTCCGGTTGCCACTGTATTTGCGATGAAGAACGATACGGAGGTAGTTGCTTATGACAGAGCACATATCAAACAACTAATGTTGAACAGAGAAAGATTGTGAGGGTGATGATGATGCTGATGGTGATGAAGAATGATGATAGCGGCTCTCATTCTAACCCTGCCTCTTGTTCTTACTGCGATTGGTTGGTTGACGCGCCCTGCTTGACATCTTCTCTCTCGGAGGTGAGGTCTATGAAACCGTCCGGGTCTACACGGGAACATCTCATCCATGGAATGTACGGTGGGTCTGTAACGACTTCGTCCTGGTTAGAACCATGTCCGACGTCCCGTCTTCCGAGGCAAGCTATAATCCCAAGTCTGTGGCATTCTAAGGGGATGAAAGACCTCTGGACAAACCCCGAGCCAGTCCCTGGACTTGCTCGAAACATAGTTCCCACAGCTCGAGCTCTGGGGCTGCGCGCCCCAAAGCGCTTGAGGGCTGCGAGGTTCCTCGGGACAGGTGGCATATGTCTTTGCACGGAGTTGAGGACTTCGGCACTTCGTCCTCTTGTGGGTTGGATTCAACGGTTAGAACTACATAGCTGAAGGCTCGATGGCTTCAGGTCTTTGGAAACCACTCGGCAACCTTTGAGAATCTGAGAATATGGAGCGAAACACTCAAGAAGAAAGATTGGAACCTTGAGAAACAAAAACCAATGCAGTCAAAAGAGACTGGAGAATTTGTCAAAGAGAAGAATTTGAGAAAGAGGGGCAAACCACTCCAAAGGGAGAGAAGTTTAATTTGAGTAATCCTCTCGACAGCAACCAAGACAACTCGAGAGATTGCTGAGGAAAATGTGACAAAGAGGAGGAAACGAGTTGGAAAGGCACTGCAGATTAAGAGACAGGAGCCAACAGCTTGAACGAGATTTATGACTGCGGGCGTCTTTAGGGCCCCTCTGAAAAGAAATTAGGACTTCCACTTGGCGGGGACTGGATTCAGGAAGTGAATCCTGAAAGTTTTTAAGCCTGTCTGGTTCTTAATAGTTAATGCGGGAATGGATTATGGAGACTATTAATGGGGATTTCTTGGGACTGCTACAGGGATCCATTCCCCTAGTCCGTAGTAAGCACCGGACAGAAGCTCCCGAAGAGCTACGGCTTCCAGGCCCCCTTCCTGCGCCCTCCTGTGCCCAAGGAGGATTCCGAGCCCGCGGCCGCTGATCTTGCCTCTTCCGCTGGGTGGCGCGGGTCGTGAGGAGCTGACCGGCCTGCCGAAGGGCTCCAGGACCAACCAAGAGTCTCGAAGTCAGCAGCACGGCGATCATGACCATGAAACCACATCACACGCTGAAAGGGGAATCACGAAGAAGCATCTCTACTGTAACGAGCCTCCGCGAGATCAACTCGCAGCAAGAAGTAGCTACTGGTATCGCAGCAAGAACCACGTTACAGGAGCTATGGTATTCCCGCCTGCGCCTGCCAGCCTTCAGGAGGAGGCTTCCGCTGCGCCTGCACATCTTGAAGCTTGATCGAGAGCTTCAGAGGTGCTGTGTAGATGCTTTTGGGGTGCTTAGCTCATCGGTGATGCATGCGCCTGCAGGCAACATATTATGACGAACGTCTCTTCAGTTCGAGGGCATGGTCGGAAGCTCGACCTTGCTAGCTGACCACTCCGAGAAGCATGACGATGCAGGATACTCTCTCGTGCTTGGGCGAGCCATGACCCTAGCCTAGCCACGAATGAACATCTTGACACTCAGCCTAAGCATCAAGTCCTCAGCTGCGTGCTAAGTTTTCGGCACACCCGTACCTAAGCCTGCGAGTCGCATCGATGTAGGTCAGCTGTCTTGTGGGTGATGTAGGGAGGGTGTAGCGCTGTAACATAATGCCACGTGCCCACAGAAAAGGACAGCAAAAACCATGGCAAAGCGGGATACTCAAGCCTCACACTCTGGCTGTCTGAGTGCCCTGAACTCAGCTTTCTAGCGGGTCTTTGGCGTTCAGGATTTAGGAACCCGTTCGCCTTCTGCCAATTAAAAGACAGGACCACATTGCTGTCGTGACATCCTTGACCATGACTTGTGCCATGTAGTACCATGCGACGTTTGGGCCTGAAACCTCAACTGAATGGTTGAAGTGTACTACGGGCAGTTTCACCTTGTCTTTCTGGCATTAAGGAACCATACCTCAAAAGCCCAAGCTGCTTTGGAGTAGCGACGCTGGCTTTTTAGCTGCTTGAACGTGGCGCTTCGGCTGCATCTTCGCCGTTTGGAGCTTACGGGCCCGAAGGGATTGAGGAGTTTAGAAAGCTAGCAGTTAGGGATACCCTGGAATCTTGATCCTTTAGCCTGACAGCTTGTTCTCTACTCTCGGTCGTCACGTGAAGGCCACTCCTCACCTTTTATCCTGGGGTTGCGGATCGGCTTAGAGCACCAAGTCCTAGAGCTTTTCAGACCAATGCTGCTTCGGGGCTCGTGCTTTCTTCCACGCGATGCACCAGAGTCTCAGATAAGGCTAGATCTTCGTGGTGTAGCGCGAGAATAGTTAGATTTTATATACATGTGTAAGTGCCTCAGTGCCTAGGCGCCATCTTCTATCCGCCCTTCTGGCTGCTTGCAGGCAGGGTTTGAGCTTGGGGCACTTGGTGCTTAGGTTTTGAGTTTCAAGTTGTTTCGCTCGTAACTGGCAAGTCAGGGAAGCAGCCTCGGGCGCTAATTCGGACAGAACGTCGCTGCACCTGCAATAGCTTTGTACAACCGTGCGCGCAGAGCCGCGGGTGGCGCAGTCAGCGCTTCTGTCAGAATCCGTGGTCAGGATTCCACATCCACATATTGTCGACATGAGCTTCGGGCTTTAGAAACCATTGGCGAAGAGCCACTTTGTTTGAACAAATGTAGGGAACTGCTCCCTTGAGTGGCTTCCCAAGTACGGAGTTCTGCTCAGGAGCCGACTGTGCAGCTTCGCACCGGGCTTTGGTTGGTTTTTGTTTGGGGCTCACAGGCTTTGTGGCTCTGAGTGGTCGATGGGTTTGGGCTTCCAGGTTCGGTCGGATCTCATCAGAGGAAGCTGAGTGCAGCTGCAAATGCTCCGAGACTTTAAGTGCAGTCTAATATGATAGAGCAGAATTACTCGGTTTTCAGGTTTGCCAGCAGCTCGCTATCAACAAACTTAGCCGCGATCGCTGAGGCGCGATTGCCCACTCAAGGCTTTGGCTGCGCATGCGGTGGAAAAGTCTGGAGCAGCAGTGTCAACGGCTCTCTTTTTGCAAAGGTTGATGTGGAATTCCTCTTCTGACTTCAACAACCCAAGTATACAAGTCCTAATGAGGACATCAAGCTGAAAAGCAGCAGATGTCACCCGGATACCAATGATAAGAAGACGAACCACGCTGTGTGCGTTTTGTGCGCATTGTGCTGGAGGCTATCAGGGTTTGCGGTCTTTGGTGATGTAACTACCAGGTATTCAAAGCGAGGGAACTCCGAGCCACCACCACTGCACGCCTCGCAGAAGGTATGAGATTGGGGCATCCACAGAGCTCTCGGAGCAAAGGGAATTTAGGGTGTAGGTCGGCATGACAAACGGCATTTGGCGGACCATTTCATACCGACATATACGACTGTTGACACACATGGAAAACGGAATCCAGAAAGAACCCCAGGCGATCGGATTGATTCAATGGCACACTCCCAACGAGCACTTGTGCTAATCAAGACTACCTAAGCGGCATTCCTTCGGGCTCTACACTTGTGTTCTTGGGGAGATGCATGTGCTGCATCGGGCATACTTCCCCAAAAGTTGTTCTCTGTTGGCGGCTGCTCTGTGGGTGCTGCACGAGCAAGGCATCTGTACAACTTGCAAGGCTTGGCTGCTCCGCTGGGTTCTTGCAGCATCTGACGCAGTGTCAGACCGCACAGAAGGCGTGTAGGCGAGAGAGTTAGCACTGGAGTGACTAGGACAGGGTTTCCGTGACTTCTTGAAAGAATAACATACATACTGGCTACAACCGACGGTTATTTTGTGTCGAAGCGCCTTTTTATGCTCGGAAGCTGTCCGAATCAGGACACACCACATCAGTTGTGGCAACGGGGCGGCTGGACGAGACGTCGTGACTCCTCAGTCAACCTCAGAAGCCGCAGCCCCGTTTCGCAGCAGCCAGGATGGCCCGCTGGCACCTGCACAAGGGAGGCTTATCGCGACAATCCCAAATGCTACGGTAGGTAGAAAGCAGGTCAACTTAATATGAGAAAATCCAAACAAACGAAAAAGAACTTCCTCTTCCACACTTGAACTTCCCTTGCCCAGCCTGCTGTGGGCCCAAGGGCGAATGCTGCAGGCCGTGCGGGTGCCGGGGTGGCGCGGCTCCGACGTCGCACGGCGGCCACGGCCTGCTGCCCGAGATAGCGAATTAAGTCTTACCCAAGGCGCGCAAGCGTGCTTGCAGACTTGCACTGCACAGACCAAATTCACGAGCTGAAGATGTGAGATTCTTGCCATGTTCGTCTTGCGAACTCAGAACTTCCGGAGCGGAGTTGAGGAGGCAGAGTTTGCTCAACCGACATGCAACCCTATCCTTCCCAACAATCACCACGCCTCAAGCCGCATTTACTTCGAGCAGTGTTATAACATGGATCTACCCTTTTGAATCACAGTGCACGTGGGTAGTTACCTAAACTAGGGTTCCTTTGTGTCCCCAAAATCGTACGGCAGCCCAAAAAAAGGACCCAACAAGGGACTATCCAGAGACTCCAATACCCCTTAATTAAGGAGTATATTCCTCAAATCCTGTGAGGGATCCTACTATAATTTGAGGTATACTCCTTAACTGAGGGAAATCGGAGCCTCCGGGCACAAGGGGCAACAAAAAGAGCCGGGCCTCACCGGCCAGCATGCCGAGGCCCGGCTTCTTCAAGGCCTTGGGAGCCTCTCCTGAGCTCTGTGGTTTTGGGTTTAGGGTCTAGGGCCTCTGGGCTTTAGGGGGTAGGGTCTGGACTTCTGGGTTTAGGATTTTCCGTTGTTTTTTTTTCTTGCACGCCTTTTTCCGTCCGATCGCAGCTGCTAACATCAGGAATCCACTGGTGTGGAAGGCTTGTAACCCTCAGCTCTCAGTACCGGTTGTGCCTCCTCATTTCGATGCATGCCCTCACTCTTCTTTGTGTGTGTTGTCATCTCCATGTTGCACCACAACATCCGACATCGTCTCAGCTGAATTTGCGAGCGTTCCATTCACTACCCCATTGACCATGGTGACCGACCAAATCCCTGCCCATGCTGCGATTCCAGCTTCACGAGCTTGTTGCTTGATGTCCACTTCTGCAACATCCCACTCCACGCAACCTTCAAGAACATCCCGTGCCCCTGCAAGTCCAACTTCTCGAAGTCGCCGGAAACGAGCAAGCCAATCAGCCCCTTGTTGTTGCGATACCTGTTCATCTGTGGTCGCCCCTCTCATCCATCGGAAGAACACTGGCATGACAGCGCTCCACGGGATTTGTAGTGGTTGAGTGATGGCAGGCGTCTCGCCGATGACTTGGCCGTCATCAACCCCAGCGTCTGGCCCCATGTTCAACTCAAGCTCGAGGTACCCGTCAATGGCCTGTCTTCCCCACTGTCGCCAGGCACACAAGAGTGCCAACCATATTGGTCCGAAGCCCTCTGCAATCATCTGCTCACTTCTCCACCCTGCCTTGAACTGCCCGTATATCGACTCGAATACCCAAAATCTCACCCGGGGCTGCCCAGGCCGGAGCATGGGGAGAGGGTGGTTTCCATGGACTGAGCAGACGACCCCGCACCCTGGCCCATGTGCCTGTGTCCAGGTTCAACTTGGCCGACCCCCGTTCCAGTGTCCTGCACATTGAGCGGCCGGTCCTCATCCACCACAGCCGCCACAGCTCTCTGAGCTTGTTCAAAGTGCACAGTCCGTTTCCTTAAACGCCAAAAAGGCTAGAGCGCGTACAGTAGCGGTAAACACTACGGAACGGCAGCAGCGTCGGCTTCTTTTTGTCCGGTGGCGTAAAGCAGTCCGGGCTCGGGTGGCCCTGGTCGGGAAGCAGAACTCGGACCAGGACCAGAGCCGGATGCAGTGTCGATCCGCATTCTCTCTGGCTGGAAAACCATCCCCAAATCCAGGGGAGCCAGAGGAGAATGGGAAGGCGGACAGAAGGGGACGGTGGCGGGTACAGAAAAACTGCGGAAACGGATCCCCGCTCGAACCGGGTGGCTTCGGCGGGGGTCCGTTGCGTGCACTACCAAACACATCCGTTCAAGCACGGTACCGTTCAAAGTGCACAGTCCGTTTCCTTAAACGCCAAAAAGGCTAGAGCGCGTACAGTAGCGGTAAACACTACGGAACGGCAGCAGCGTCGGCTTCTTTTTGTCCGGTGGCGTAAAGCAGTCCGGGCTCGGGTGGCCCTGGTCGGGAAGCAGAACTCGGACCAGGACCAGAGCCGGATGCAGTGTCGATCCGCATTCTCTCTGGCTGGAAAACCAATGGAAACCTCGAGCCGGAAGCTTGACCACAGCCGTGGGACCAGCCAAACTGAGAATCAAGCAGAGCAAGAGCCACCCGGGCATAGGAAACCAGAAAAGTCCGCCGCAGACGGGAATAGGGACAGATCCGGAGAAGGCGGAAACTGGTCCCAAGAGATGCAATGTTCCTGGGACATCTCGAACCCCAGAGACGCAGGGTCAGCAGAGCGACTTAAGGCGTCTGCGACGTCATTCGACAATCCCGGAACGTGATCAATGTAGACGGAAATGCGACGCGCCTGCTGGCAGAGCAGAAAAGATCGGAGCACAGAGCAAAGGCCCTTGGCCATAGACAGACCCTTCCAGCTCGCTGCATCGGCAGCAGAGTTGTCGCATTTGAAGACGCAGTGCACGGGCAGGTGCCCTGGTCCCAGCAGGACGTCCAATAAGACAACCAGCGCGCATTGTGCCAGCAGTTCCCAGCTGGCGATAAAGGCCTGAGCAGAGGCGGTCTCAGGGAACCAGGAAAAGAGGCTATGAAGCACGTGACGGTCAAAAGATTGACGAAAAAATAGTTGGCGCCCGTCCGGTAAACGAACGAAGCCGCCGAGTCCCGCGGAGAGCTCAGTGGCGCAGGCGTCAGCAAAGGCTTCACAGACGTAGAGGGGCGGTCGCAGCAAGGAGCGAACGGCCGTGCCAGACTGGCAGAGATCCAACCAGAGTCTCAGCACCTCCTGCGAAGAGTCAGAGAGAACACACATCCCGGTGTGCGGAGACGAAGACTGAAGCCAGATGCGACGGGCATCAGGGGCCTGCAGCGGAAGGTCACCGCGGCAAGAGACCGCAGTTTGATTGACACGTAGGATCTTGGAGCCCGGCGGAAGGGCAGCCACCCCAATCGGACGCAGCAGGATGAGGTCTGGAGAGAGAGCCTGCAATAGTTCACTCCACCGCTCGGGTTGAAGCGCTGTCATGGTGGGCAGCAAAGCATGCTGGTCTGAGTACAGCGGAGCCAGAGAAGGGCGGAATGTACGGAACAGAGAAGACAGCCAGAGTAGCTTGCCCGTGACACGCTCCAACAAATGACAGGAGCAACGTTTGGACGAAAGGGCCTGCCGGAGCAGAGCACAGAGCCGTGTGAACTTGCCGGGGTCCAACTTCACGCAAAAATGTGAAAGGTTAAACTCCCAGCCGATCCACACAACAGACGGGCCCAAAGCAGCTTTGTGCCATGACATGGGCACGCGCAGAACCAGAAGAAGGACGACAATTAAGGAGGCCCAAAGCGGGGCCGATGTGGCATCCAAGAGTGCCAGGATGTCGTCAACGTAAATCTGAGCCGAGTGGCGGACGCGGACAATGCGGTGGACCAGGCGGAGTAACAGACCGGCGGCGCGGGCCCAGTAAAATGATGACACGCGGGCTCCAAAATTTAGTGTGAGACACTGATACAGCTTTCCACGGTGGCGGAAGCAAAGAAGGCCGCGATCAAGCGCACGAATCAGAATACGGCGATGCGCTTCAGCAACATCCAGTATCAAAGCGGCAAGCCGTTCCGAGGAATCGGAGAGAGGCATACAGAAGAAGACGTCCGACAGAGTGGGGTTAGCAGAACGGTTGGGCAGAGCAGTGTTGCTCGTGACGCCAGACACAGAGCTGTCGACCACCAGACGCGGAGGACGTCCCTCAGCCAGCACGACTCCTAGTTTGCCGACCGCCGTACGATTGTAGCGACGGCGCAGCTCGGCATCCCCTCCCGGAACCAGAGCGATCCAACCTTCGGCCAGCTCAGCTTCGAGCAACTCATCCACCACATCTGCGTGATCAAGGGCAGATTTCCAGGCAGAGTCACAATGCTGAAGCGGGATGACCGTGGCGTCAGGGGAAGGAGGAGGATGCATAACCGGACACAGGGGAATAGGCTCTGGCACGCCTAAGGGGACGCCAGAGCGGAGAAGATCAAAGTATCCCGAATCCGGGTCTGCACAAACCAGCGAGAGACAGTGCCAAAGATTGAGCCGAAACGGCTGACCTTCTTGGACCAGAAGCAGGCGTTTCCAGATAGTGTCGTCCTCCACATGCAGGAAGGAACGGAGGTCATCCAGAAAAGGAGCAACCTCAGCCTCAGACAATGGAGGAGACTTAGACCCGGAGTTCAAGGAAGCAGCAATGCGTTGGGCAAGACCGGACGCAAGCAGTCGTTTGGTCCAGGCTGCCCTCAGAGAGGACAGCGGGTCAGAGGACACTGGCCTCGGGGAGGCAGTACTGCAAGTACCAGCACCGTCCTCAACCCTGTGGGACCGAGCAGGCCAAGTAAAGCGACACGGCAACAGCTGCAGCCAAGTCGCAAGGGGGTAGGGCTGCTGCTGCAAGGCATCCGAAAGGAAAGGAGCCGCCATGCGTGCCAGGGCTGCAGCCAAAGACGGAGGGTAGCATGCAGAAAGGCGAGTGGCAAAGGATCCATCCGCCAAGCGCTTTCCGGACACCTTGGCGTGAAAGCCTAGGGGGTGAGGGCAGACACATGCAAGGGTTGCGACCTCCGGGGAGTTAGAGCAAAATGACCAAGCCTTGTGTTGGTCCAGGCCATGATGGCAGCCAGCAACCGTAGCAACGTGGCGGCAGAACAGCCGGAGCCATGAAACAACGTCCGGATCCAACCACAGCAGGGAGGAGGAGGGATTCTCAACCACCAGACAGAGAAGATGGCGCGTTCGTTGATGCAGCACAGAGGAAACCCTGAGCTCTTCGGCCTGCGAGGCAGAGGGAGAGGGAATGCCCGTAGGATGGTGGAGAGTGCGCACCGGAGAAGGACCACCAGGACGCAAGCGGGACCTTGAAAAGGCTGCACAAGGCGGAGCAGCACCGGCAGCACCCACCAAACCGGAGGAGCAAAGTCGACAGAGGTGGTCGAAGCAGGTATCATCCAGCAAGTCCGCTGCCGACGCAGCCAGCTTGTCGACAGGTTCAAAGCAAGCCTTCCCGAGCGCCTGAAGTGCGGTCGTCACCGGGGAAGACGATCCGGAAAAAAGGTCCAGGAACAATCTGGCAGCAGGAATAGAGGGCGCCGCAGAGTTAGCGGTCGACGGCGACGGTGGGCCCAGGACAGCAGGCGAACCGTTCGACCCAGAAGGACGCAAAGCAGGAGCAGAAACGGGCGCCGAGCTAAGGAAAGACAGAGGCAGAGGCGGAGAGGGACGAGGCGCGTCGACCGCAGGAGGGAGGGGTGCGGCAGGAGAGAGACTGCTAACAGCAGCGGGGGCCTCCGCAGACCGTGCCGCCGGAGCGGTAGTAGGATCAACGGAGGTGAGAACCGTGGAAGCTCAGTGAGGTGTCTTGCCATGGTCCAGAGCGGAGTGCGGCTGACCGCAGGCTTTGCCGGAAGGAAGCGGGACCGGGCAGCCATGCACAAATTTGCAGTCGGTCTTAGTGCATTTGCCGACTGCGAAACGCATGCAGGC